GCCCTTTTCTGGCCTTGAATCCTGATGACTTTACTAGCCTTGGTACCTCTGTGCTAGACTCAACGTAGGATTCGAATTCAAAAGCTCTGGCCATTGCATCTTGCATAGTAGAGGTGTGTGTGCTTGCTTTACTTGTATCTTCAGTTGTGGACTGTCCAAGATGTCTACAAACTGATCACCCAGTAACAGCTTGAGGAAATCAGGTGGTGTAATTGGTTGAGGAACGAGAACCTTAAGCTGAATTCCAAGAGGTGTGATTGTTAAAGCAACAGAATAGTTTCCCGGAGCACATAATCAGCATAGCAGGAGTATAAGAAAACCTGCGTGAAGTAAGAGGATATTTTTGGACTATGCTTTTACTATTATTGTTTTGTAAAATCATTATCTAACATAGCTCGTCCTCTAAACAAATTATTTTAAAAATTAAATAAGTTTTGTTAAACTGCTGATGGTTAACAAGCCTTGAACAAGTTGAAGAAATAATTAACCACCATTCCTCTATTCGCAAACTCAAATCTTGAAGATCCACTCATATTAGATAGATATTTCAGCTATTTTGCAGTGAGGAAGCGTTGTCGCAAATATGACAAGGAAAAGAACACGTGATTATTTCCTATAGTGAACAAATAAATGCTGCAGAAAGGAGGTATTTTACAACTCTAAAAGAGCTACCAAGCATGTTCAAGTCCTAAGTCATTTCCATCATTATCTATATAGCCAAATAGATTCATGGCAGGTGAAGTTTTGTAATGTAGAAGGCCATATAAAAAGATGGTTTAAAACTTCATGAGTACAACTTTAACATCATGAATCAGCGTGAATGGAAAAAAAGAGATGCTGATGCATTATCCTGAAGATGTGGTAATAGAAAATGTAAACAGTGTGAAAAGAGGGAAGCACAAGATAGTAAAGATTACCAACCAGAACTAATAGAGTATAATCGAAGTTGTGACATCCACGAGTGATGATTAACTGAAAGATATTCAGGATTAAAAATACGAATTTGAAGTGTGGGACAGTTGTTATTTATTTATTTGCGATAACGAGACGTGAACCTTGGAAGTTCAGATCCACAGCCCAGCACGGGTCACGCTCCATCCTCAGAAGTAATCCAACGTTCTGTAGGAATCGAGTCCTAGCCTCGTCTCAAAATTCCAGAAAATAATTTACCTAGTTAAGACTTCCACATTCGACACAGGAGAACAACTTAAAGTTCTGATATATTTTTTTTTTAATGTCTAACTAAGAACAATCAAACAAATCTCTTCGAAAACATTTATTTATAAAATATATGGTGGTAAAACATCACATGTGGATCATTATAATAAACTGGGTTAAAAATGCACATACAACAATAACCTTTCTGGCTGCAAGGTGGCAATACTTGCGACTTTTCAACCAATCAGGTGAAAACTTAACTGTATAATAAAACATAATCAGTAACTTTCATATAAAAAAAAACCCAAAAAACGTGTTTATGTAACACAGTAAAATCAGAAGGTCTTAGTTATAAAAAAAATACTCAAAACAATCATGAAATACATTATCCATTTTAGTGGTCTGTAGACTAGAAGCGATGCGGTACAAATGGGTGAAGGAGAACTTATCATGAAGAATTATTTTACTGATTAAATTACTCAGCTACAGATACACTATGACTTAAGAAGGAGTTCCCGTGTTATAGTGATAAAAATTAATAATAGTATCAAAATGTTACTTAAAAAGTTGTCAACATGTTATAATGATGAACAATTAATAGTAATACAAAACGTTTCTTAAAGAAGACACTAACGTGTTATTGTGATGAAAATTAGCAGTAATGACAGAAAATTACTTGAAAAAGGCGTTACCACAAGAAAAAGTGACAAAAAAAATAACAGTAACGACAAAATCTTAGTTTCAGTTGTTAACATCTTATAGTGGTGAAAAATTAATAGTAGTACAAAGCGTTAAAGGTTTTAACATTTTGTATCGATGAACAATTAATAGTACTAACAAATCGTTACTTGAACTTGTTAACATGTTATAGTGATAAAAGATTAACAGTAACGACAAAAATTACTTAAAAGTTGTTAACATATAATGGTGATGAAAAATTACTAGTAATGTAAAATGTTACTTAAAGAAGACATAACATTTTATTGTGATGAACAATTAATAGCAGCGACAGAAAGTTACTTGAAGGCGTAAAATGTTACAGTATTTGAAAATAAATAGTTACGACAAACATTTTCTTAAAAGTGTTAACATGCTACAGTGATGAAAAATTAATAGTAGAAACAACAGCAAATTGTTAATTGTAGTGACAAGAGGTTTTAAGATGATGAAATATTAATAGACAAAATAAATTATTTATAAGGATAAAAGTGATGAAAACAATAATGTAAGCGAGCAGTATGTTTTCTAATAATGAATATATTTTCTAATAAATCTTATATTAGAATTTAAATCTGTAATTTCTTTAAAAGGATAATTTGATGTTTTTAACAATTGACGTTTTGTAAATAAATTTGTTGTTACTGAAGTTAACTGATATTAAACTTTAGACAGCAAAGATCGTCTTAAAAAAACCAGAAAATGTAAATGTCGTCAAAACAACTAAGAGAACCTCAATACTTAAAACTACAAGTATAGGTAAAGTTTTGATTACAGCATGAGTAAATTAAATTTAACAATTTTACACTTGTGATATCGACAATTTACCATTTAAATTCAAGATCGAATTTATGTTGTATATCTTATTTGTTTTTTTTTCAAGGTTAAAGATTTTACAATAGTTGACGAGTTGATCGCACCTTGGTTACTGACGTCTAATTTGGAGACAACAAAATTCCATCAGTCCTTTAATTTGTTTCAGATCTCATTCCATTTTTTAAATACTTATTCTATTCTAAATATGTTTTTCATGTTTGGCTCGTGGCTGTCGAAAAAATACACCATAAAACACTGTAGTTATGATACTTTAACGAATCATTGTTTGGTCGCACAAACAAGTGGCTTTACACGCATGATGGCGCTCTCGTCGAGGATCACCACACAACCATTGATGCCAGGTAGAGTTGATTTCATAGCAGTTCATCCACAGGTCAGCGTATTCACACCCATTTGCTTAGACAGAGAAATAACACCAGTCATTAAAAAATAACATATCTGATATTTTTTTTATAAAAATCATGTTAGAACATATAAATTATTTTAATACTGGTTAATTAACAAAACTTAATATTCTGAACAGAAGATAGATATAGAAAACACTGGAAATGAAACTCTTTTTTAATGTTCTGAAACAAAAAAATAAACTAAACAGCTCAATCTACTGGATGCTGTCTTGAGAAGGAGATCTATACTGAACAACAGCGTACACCACTTGGCATATTCGCAGCGGTGCTGCCACCTGTTTGTAGCAGTGTTGCTGTTGTAGGTAATTTAACATATACACTGATGCTTCAGATTGTCATTGATGACACGGTGGATGTGCTATGTTTTGATCCCAAATTAATCTTTCGTAGGTATCAAGTAATGCGAACAAATTGAAAGAAGATGTTTGTAGATTCTACTTTCAATAATACAAGGAATACAAATGAAACTTGGATTAAAAAACAACAACAACAAATCTGAGGAAGTACACATACGTATGTATATATATATATATATATGTGAGATGCTTCACCTTTAACTTGTATAAGGAAAATATAACTAAAATTCTGACAACAATGTGTACTTATCGCACTCACTTGTATAAGGAAAACGGAATTGAAATTCTGACAACAATGTGTACTTACAGTACTCACTTGTATAAGGAAAACAAAATTGAAATTCTGACAACAATGTGTACTTACAGCACTCACTTGTATAAGGAAAACAGAATTGAAATTCTGACACCGATGTGTACTTACTGCAGAGCTTCTTGTATTTGCACTGTCCTGGACAATTTCCACACGGTTCACCACGAGTGTAAGGAGTGTCAAATTTATCAGGATGGTTACCTCTACAGAAAAAACAACAACAAAAAAAAACCGTCTTTACTGAAATTCCTTTATATTATTAAAGTATTTTTACACTGTCAAATCATTCTCAAATATAGAAAGCTTTTTTTAAGAAATTAAAACTTAACTCTAAAGCATCTCTCATTAACCTGATATATCGATTGAATCAAATTAATCACGATTGTGAATATCGATAAGAAATAAAAACTAATATATACATTGGACAGTAGTTACAAACGTAGTTGTAATACGGCTGTTTCACTTTGTCAGGTCCACAGTAATGAAATCCACAGCCTATCTTGTGGGAACTGTACCACACCATCTACAGAGAAAGATATGCTGTTACAAACTATAAAAATACAATTTCAATATCAATAAAAAGTAGTAAGAATAAGTCTTTAAAAGAAAATAAATAATTTTAAACAACAGAATTTTTGTCAGACTAGAAATATTTCAGTAGTTTATTGTGTCGATTAATGATTTTTTTTTTTACAAAAAAAAACAACACTGTATAGGCACACACACACTCATGTATACATTACATGTATATAAAGAACTAACTGGAAGAAATGCACTAGCTTTTGTATACTGTAACGGGGTGCTAATCTTGGTGTGTTAAAAGAACCAGATATCTAATTGTTTCTATATAATTAGATTTAAAAATTCTGTAGCGAGAAATACACTCGAGAAAAAACCTGTTGAAAATTCAGGAATACACAAACATTCAGACTGATGAGAGACGTTTAGAAACATACATAATGCTATCTGTCTGAAAGCTAAGGATTACAATACCGTTTTGTATACATATATATTAGTGTGTGTGTGTGTTAAACGACTATCACAGTATGTTGTACGAACTACCATCACTTTTATATAACGGTCTATTTGGCTTAGAACTTTGAAGGATATACCTACCTGTGTAATGAACTACAAGACTAAGTACTTTGAAGGATATACCTACCTGTGTAATGAACTACAAGACTAAGTACTTTGAAGGATATACCTACCTGTGTAATGAACTACAAGACTAGGTATTTTGAAGGATCTACCTACCTGTGTAATGAACTACAAGACTAAGTACTTTGAAGGATCTACCTACCTGTGTAATGAACTACAAAACTAAGTACTTTGAAGGATCTACCTACCTGTGTAATGACCTACAAGACTAAGTACTTTGAAGGATCTACCTACCTGTGTAATGACCTACAAGACTAA